AATAACATTATTGATGAAGCAATTGTTTGAGCATCTACTTCAACAGATTGCATATGTTGAGAGACTTGCTCTACAGTTGAAAACACATCATAGACCAAGCGAAGCCCAAAATATCGGGTGGACACGGAAAAATCCGGTCAACTTTAAATTGAGATTTCTCTAAAACCATAAATGCTTTTTATTTCAATTTTTTTATTATTAAATGTGTTTACATAAATTAGAGTTTCAACTTAATTTTAAGGGGCTTGATGGGTTGCTTGGCAAGAAATCGTACTTTATAGCTGGTTGATGCCATCATTTTACAGATTTTTTCTTTTTTCACCATACTGGTGGCATTAATCCACTTTTTTTGGAAGTCCTTTTTATTATTTTTTAGTCCACCTGTCTTACGAAGAACTCCTTTAACTATTGCCCAAAAATCTTCAATCTTGCGCTCTTCAGGACGATTTGGAGGATTCGCATCTTTAGGAACAATTTTTACATTATTATCTTTGCACAACTGCAAAACTTTTTTAGAATAGTGAGAGGCAGCAAGATCGGGCCAAAAGAGACATCGGTATTTGTGTTTTTTTATAAAAGCCAAAAGTCTTTTTTGGAGGCATTCTTTGATGTAGAAATTGGCAGTCAAGGTCTTTTTAGTGACAAAACAAGAGGACTGCATACCACAGCTACAAATTGCTTGCCACACTAGGAACTTGGATGCAAATTTTTCTCGTCGAATATATTTAAATTGATCATCGACAGGTTTATCTTTATTTTCATAGTAAAACTGTTGACCAGGAAGTTGTGAAAAATCCGCCTTGCAATACGTTTCGTCGTCTTCAATTATGCATATATTTTTATTCGCCATTATTTTAACCAACTTCTTTGCGCGTCGAATTCCTTTAATTTCACAATTTAAGCTTCTCTTAGGTGTATTTTTTTTATGAAATGCTTTAATTCCAGCATTTTTAAGTACTTTTTTGATATAAGAACGAGAAGTCTTAAATTTTCTTGCTAGATCTTGCTGTGACTGATTTGGATTTCTTGCTATTGAACGTAAAATCGACTTTACTTTATTAGATTTATTGAAAGTTTTTTTTCTTCCACTTCCAAGTTTTCTTTCGAAGCTTTGAGTAGTCTTGAACTTGTTTATAATATCTATGACAGTAGATTTTGGGGCATTTGTGCGTTTAGCAATCAAGCGATAGGAAGTCGATGGATTTTTGCAAAAAAAATTCACAACTTTTTTACGCACCTCAACTTGTTTCCAAAACATTTTGCAAAACATTAATTTGTAAACAAAAATTTATCAACACCATTTAAGATAAGGAAGTAAGGTTTAATTAAAAAAAAAAAATTAAATAAAAAACATTTGTGGTTTTGGAGAAATCTCAATTTAAAGATGACCGGATTTTTCCGTGTCCACCCGATATAGTTGATAATATGATATGATAATAATTTATCAAGTAAACTTTCTGCTCTAGCTAGAGAATTAGATTCAGAAATTTTTTGAAGCTATAAAACAATTACTTAAAAGTCAGAGTTGAACCATACGATTTGATCCTCGGCGTCAAAAGAGTTGGACAAGAAGCACTTAAATTGATTTGCTTGACACCCTAGTCAAGTAAATTGCATTGCAATTTTTTAAGCCTTACTCTTTGGAGCTAAATAAATGAAATTATACAACAGCTGGCATAATTCCAGTTACTCGTTCATACAACTGACTTTTTTACAAGCAATTTGAAAAACAAGGTTGAGCCAATGTGCGTAAATATAAATATCGCTTCATTGACATCATCTTGAAATAGTTTAGGAACACCACTTAGATGCCCTGACATTGAAGCAGCATCATTGTAACTTTGCCCCGCACCATTTTCTTGTCTAGTCCACATCTTAATAAAACATCACATATTGGATAAAAAAGCGACTTTCTGTCGGTAGCATCAACTGCATAAAGACCAAGAAAATCTTCGTATATTGTAAAATTTTCAAAAACTGATCGAACACATATAGACATTTGCTCAATACCGAAAATGTCTCGAGTTTCATTGCATATTCACTTGCGAATTCAAAAAAACGCAGAGCAAAAAAAAGAGAAATTTTAACAGAACAAGATGTTGTCGCAAGGTTGTAAAAGGAAGAGAAGAATAAAGCTGAAAAAAAAAAGACTGTATCAGTAAGAATAAGAAAACTGCTAGACATTTGACTTTTTAAATACATGAAAAGCAATCAGTGTGATATATTAAATGTAATACGAGTATCCGTATTACCTCACCAGTAGGGTAACTTGGATATATAAAAGGTGTTGTTAAAAAAGGATTAGTAAGTTAGTTATTTAAAATATATTAATGCTTTACTCATTGTGAAGTTATTGTATACACCCTGAATGTAAAGATAAAAAACAAAAATTTTTATGGTGGTAAAAACTAAAAAAAAATATATCTAAAATTCTCCATAATACCTCATCCCTACCCTACACAATCCTTTTTTTTTTTTTATCAGATATATTTATATTTTTTCATTGATTGGCACTTCGCCGGAATTTGCAGGAGTATTACATGATGCTAAGGGTGGTCTGGTAAGCATCATTTGTAAGCGCTGGAATATTAGTCTGACTAAACAATCTATAGATCCACGCGTTATCACAAGACCAGGTGTGGATTTAGAGAATGTGGAATGTGAAAATTTGGAAATGCCACGACGACTTAATTATAGATTATAATTATTATGTGTTGTCAGGACCGGCGCGAGTAGGTGTCCCGACTGTCTACAATACCGACTAACCTGTATCGAAAAGTTTGATATTTGCCGACTAACTAGTCTAAAGGGTCCAATTTGCCGACTAAAGGTCCAATTTGCCGACTAAAAATCATTGATGTGTGTGTGTGTGGGGGGGGGTCACACCCCCTGCACCCCCTATCGCGCCAGCCTTGTGTCTAGTAAAACAAATAATGCAAATAATGCAAATAAACAAAATAATTTATTTATTTCATTTTATTTGCCGTATAATATTATTTACATCAAGATTTATAGTATTAATAATATTATTCTGCAATAAAAACATCTATATATTATGTAAAATAAATATATACCGAGAATATATTATCACTAAATATATCATAAATTTGACACTACATACTTCAGAAGTGAAACTCAAAACAAAACATAACAAATCATTATGCAGTGTAGCAGCTGAACTTTTTTTTTTTTAAATTAAAAAAATCAAAAATATTCTTTGTTAATGAATAATAATAATGAAAACTAATATCTAACCTGCAAAAAGTTTCCGTGTGTCACTTCATTTCCTTGGTGGTTTTCTATGAGCTTCTCCAGTAATTTTGGATTTTTTCATAATAGTTATATTTATAACTTTCACGATTAGTTACACAAAAATTATGAACTAAAAAAAAGACAATTAAGTGTTCATTTTTGTGGTCGGTGTCGTATTATGAGGACCACTCTTTCACGCTGTTTTGATAAACGAACTTTATAATATTAAGGATTTGTCTAACAATTGATTTTTAGGTGTATTTTTTCTTTATAATGGCGTGAAACAAGTATAATTTAGCTTTTCGAGAACGCATAATCAAACATTATAAGAACTCCAACAAAAAGAAACTGCCCTCAAGTACTTTATTAACAAATCTTTTGTATATCAAATAATTAAACGATTTAATAAAGACAGCCCTTTAGAAACGGAATATACGGGGAAATTTTTTTGATCCTAAATACACATAAGGAACGGTTGAACACGATGATGAAAAAGGCGCAATTTGGGGGTTTGGTAAGTTGGACCTATCCATCAAATAAAGGCATTTTGGATTGATTTGTTTATCGTTATGTTCTTGAGTAAAAAAAGATGGTTCCTCATGTTGATAATATGCCTCCTCTTTAGATGTTTCAACAAGACCTGAAACACACATCTTAACTTGTTAAACAAAGCACAGTGAGAACATTCTATTAAAATAGTTGACCGAAAATATAATTGTGTTTACGTAAATATTAAGCTCTAAATGAGTTTATTCTAAACCTTTTATACTTTCGCTTAATAGCTTCTTCATATTCTAGTTTTAATAACAAAAATACATTTTTATAAGAAGAATTTTGGGACAGTCTATCATTAAAGAAGAGAGGAGTTTGTCTTTTAAATACTTGAAGTACATATACAATCAAAATTTTTAAAAGGTTGTTAAGAGCTTTTAAGGAGATTAATTTTTAAAAAACAAAACGACGAGTTACTCTTCATTCACACGGAATCAAACAACCGATCTCAAGTACTTTAACCAATTTAATCTCAAGTACTTTAACCAATTACTTTAAACCATTAATGATAAACTATCCCAAAATACTTCAGATGAAAAAATATTTATCAAAACTTGAATATAAAGCACTTTAACGAAACGGTTTTAAAAGCTTCAAATTAAATTACAACCCCAAAAAACAAGCCAGCCCCGATTAGAAAAAGAAATATAATTTGGTTTAATCCACCGTACTACAAAAGTGTTTTCACCAAATGAAATCTGTCAACTGCAAAGAAATATTTTTTCAACTAATAGATATTCATTTCCCATTTCCTCAAGCCCACTGCACAAGCTATTCAATCGAAGCACCACAAAAGTTAGTTACAGTTGCATTTCAAAAATTCTAAAATGCCGCAACAAAAAAAAAAAAAAAAATTAAAAAAGCACGCTTGTAAATTTTAATTGCAATTGCAAAACCAAGCGAAACCTGCCCGTTGAACAAAAAATGTAGAATGGGAAATATAATTTACAAATGCACAACATCTTCAAAAATGCAAAACATATTTTTAACAGAAAAAACCTTTTATTACCTGATGATTACCAATACCATTTAACTAATAGTAGTAAAAATCATGTAGTTTTATTTTCAATAATTTTGTGTTATGGCTCTTAATTAGTTCATATAGCATACCTTAAAAGTACAAACATATAAATATAAACACGCGCGCGTGCAGGCTATTTCTCAATAGGCTATAAACAAAAAAATTTTAACAAATATTTCCAAATACATTACATAATTATAATTTAGGTTTAACTACATACTTTGTCACTCTGTAAATGTGAAGTTATATGATCTTCTAAAAGATCTGTTGAATCATTCAGATCATCTTTTAAAACATCATTACATAACTCAGTCTCTTTCTCCTCACTTATTTGAAAACCTATTATTTCTTCATCACTTATGTATGAGTTTTCTTCAGAAGAATCATCTATTATACTACCATCAACTTTTAACTTTTTGGAGTTAATGTCATTGCATTCTTCTGCATAACGTTTAGCTGTAGATTTTTTTAATAATTTTATTGAAACTTGCAAATCAAATTTTAGTTTATTTAAATGATCATGTTTGTCTTCTTTTGAATAAGTTGTTATACTCTTTAATAGATCTTCACATCGAAGAACAAGATCTTTTCTCTGCTCATCAGATTCATTTACATCAGAAAGTTGTGTTTTAAAAGAGTGTTGCTTTTTTAACTCGGTTTCTGATATTGAATTATAATGATTAGCTGGTTGCGTTATCTCTTTTTGGGGATGTGATTTAGATTGATTTTTTATAATAATATTTAATGTTTTTACAGGGGTGGAAGTAGTTGCAATTTGATGTATCCCTAATTTACCATGAGCATCTACCCATGGCTTTATACAAGAATAATCTAGATTAATTAATGGATTTGATGTGTAGCAAACATCTAGCATATCCCAACCCCAATCGGGAAAAGAATTAAATACTGAACAAAGATGTTTGCAAGGAAGTTTATACTGTTGCCAACTAACACAATTGCATGAAGGAAGATTGCTAGCATCCCCAAATGAGACAGTGTATGATTGATTATTTTCTGCTCCAGATGTGTCTTGTACCCAAAACAAACCCGGTTGTACATGACTGACCTAAAGAAAAAAAAAAAAAAATGCTTTTTTAAATGTATTTACTATAAAAAAGTACAACAACTATAATTTTAACCTGATAAATTGCTGAATCATTTGACTTGATTTGATCAAGAACATGAAGGATAACAGAAGCAGGTTTATCAACTAAGCATGTTGGCAACTGATCACCATATAAAACCTTTAGTTCATTTGCTTGAGTATACGATTTTCGATTTAATTCAACATACCTATAATAATAATAACAACAACAAAGGTTTATTTCAGTCAGGTCAATTCCTAAAAATGGTATATGGTGTGTCGGTATTGCTAGTTCTTTTTCGAAAATGCAATTTACTATTTATTGTTAACCTTAAAGTTACAAACATAAAATTTTCATTATCAACATATTTTTAAAGCAAACTAATGCTTTACTAAGCTTATAGTTTCTTAAACATGTTTTTTTTTTCAATATCTTCACTTCCAACAAGGCTGAAAGTAACCAGTATTAGAGTTAAAAGTTACTGGAAGAGAAAAGATGAAATTTATAGAGATAAAGATAACGATTAACAGACGACTTAAAAGATTGCAAATTATATGAATCATGAAAACAAGATGAACGAAGCAAATTCCGAAGGACTAATGTTCAAGGAAAAAAACTAGACGAATAAGAATTTTTTGAGCACTTAGCAACAGTCACAGTAAACGGATAAGATTTAATTGAATGACGAGTAACACGAGAATGAGTTTTAGTAGATGGCACAAGAAATGCTAGCTCTTTAGAGCAGTGCCCATAACAGTATTTATAGAAAAAAGAAAAAGAAGCAACATTACGACAATGTGATAATGGTTGGAGGTGGGCTGCAAGAGCAGGTCCAACCATGTTTACAATGCGTTTTTGCACCTTGTCTAAAAGAGAAAGGATATCATTGGAAGATCCGCCCCAGATATGGTAACAGTATTCCAAACAAGGACGGATTTGAGATTGATAGAGATAAAAAATAGAACTATTGCCATAACGATTAGCTGAAAAAAATTGAGTTTTATCTAAGTTTAAGTTCACCAGCAACTGAGATGTTGATTATAGAAGCATATACAGAAGGCAACAGCAATTTTTTACTTTAAAAAAAAATTTTTTTTTCAAACTAGAGTACCTTAATCAGATCATAAAACTCTAATGTACAAAATATGAAAGTTGCAAGTCTTCCCGATTCTATAACTTTTTAATTTAAATTTTTTACATATTTCATTCTATACCTAATTCATTTTAAAACATAAACTAGGTTGATTTATAACTAACTAGCAGTAAGCAACCCGTAATACGCGTTGTTAGTAAATAAAATTAAAAAAAAAAAAACGCGTATAGAAAAGCCTAGAAAATGACGTAATTCGACTAATAATATTAAATTAGCGTACTAATATTATCAGATAACTTTTTAAAACAAGTGATGAAGTAAACCCTTTTCCAGCGTATTTTCATATATAATGAAACGTAAATAATTATTTAGACATGCTTGTGTCTAGTAAAAAAGGGTCGTTTTACATTAAAGCCATATATTTTAGATAAACTATGAAAATAAAACATTTATAAAAAACATGGTTTCAAATGTATGTATATTTCAAACTTATTTAAGTTTAGATAGAAAGTTAACAAAAAAAAACTTCAGATACTTTCTGTTTTTAAGTTAGAAAAAAAAAACAATCTTTTTAGCTTGAAATCTTTAGCTTAAGACAGAAAAAATAAATAAACCGCTGGAAAGTTTTAGCTTTGTTTACGTTTACTTTTTTAATAACGCATTTCTTTATAACTTTACAAAAAATAGCGTCTTTAAAGCTGTTTATTTATGTTGATTTTTAAAACTTATTTTTCAAATAAGACAGCTATAAGTTAACTTTATATTTTTTTATTTTTGAGTTAATTATTTTTATTTATAATATACTTCAGCTTGAAGCTACTTAATGCCAAAAACTGCTGGTACATAATATACAGGCCATTATAATAATTATATAGTAATTATTCAAAAAAGTTGTCAAAAGCAGTAAACTTAAATTGTATTACAATTGAATGAATCACAAAGTAGTTCTATGAAATAAATTTACTTATAAATACCTTCTGTAAAAATCTGGAATTATTCTATCTACAAGCTTTTCAATCAACGAACCCAGCTTTTTGCCTCTCATTAGATTTATATGCGCTTCTTTTAATAGCTTCACATCCATTTCTATAGTTGATTCAGTGTGAATTGCAGTCATAAAATCTTCCGGTCTGTAACCCATAATCCATTTCTTAACATTTATTATAAATCATTATAAATAATAAAAATAAAAAACCATTGAAAAAACAAAATGTTAAAATCAAAAAAAAAATCAAAATAAAAGATTTAGATCAGTATTTAAAATTCTTCAAAATTAATATTATTACATGCCTTAGCTTCCAACAACCACTTTGAATTAAACCAACTCCTTAAATTTGCACAACCTCGCCACACTTCTGAATTTTCTAATTGTAGTGCAGCTTCATGTAAAACCTCTTCATTATATGCATTAGCGATTGACTGAAAATGTTCAAATAAGATACCCAAATCACCTTGTACTGCATAATCTGATTTGTTGAGCCACTCATGCCAATTCCGTTGTCGGGATGAATCCGAAATAAACAAACCACAAGCTTTAAACAAAATAAATTTTTAAAATGTTTATAAATTAATAAAGTACAAAAAGCATCTAAAAAAGTTATAAAAAGATATTTAAATATATAAAAATAACATACAAAACCAATACACTCACATGCTTAATACACGGGGACTTTTATTAATTTTCAGAAAATTTTCCCATCCGCTCCAAGCTTATTAAAAAACGTTTCCCCCCCACCCTTTATAAATTTTTACTAATTATCTACAAAAAAATTATATTAAAAACTAAGAAAAAAATCAATGTAAACTGGGCATAAAAATTTAAAAATATATATCGCTGATAAACTGTCACTGACCAAAATAAAAACTTTTAGTGTAATAAGGCCTAAAAACGGTAGACTGATAAAAAAAATGTAAATATTTTTCTTCTAAAAAAGGAATTAAGATGAGATATAAGATGTTAATTTAAAACCAATGAACTTGCAATAATTAGTACGAAAACTATTTGAGGGGTAACAGCTATCTCAAAAGTTTTTAAAAATTGGAACCACTGCCCTTTTTTTCAACAGACAGGAAAACAAGATTGAATTAACCACTTGCTATATAGTTTAGAGATTATTCAGTGTTCTGGAAAACACTTAGACAAGAATGACAGTCCTGATCACAAGCTGTATAAGAGTTCAAGTGAGAAATAACCTAAGCAATTGAAACAGGAGTGACTTGGATGTCTAGGAGTGAATTAACCTGTTTTTTTTCAAATGAAAAAGTTATTAGATTCAAGAGATTAAAAGAAATTTTTTTTTCAAATAGCTCTATTTTATAATTGAGAGATGTAATCTCTCAAATGTATGTATGTATGTATGTATGTATGTATGTATGTATGTATGTATGTATGTATGTATGTATGTATGTATGTATGTATGGTTTAGCACACACCAAAATTAAATTTTCTTTTTTCTATATATATTATTTTTCCAGTCGGTAAAGATTTTTTTTTATAATTTTTAAAATTTTTTAATATTATCAATTAATTAGGCCTAGCCTGATAAAATAAGTCAAATAATTAAAAAAAAGTTTGCTCAAACACATCCTTTTTTTTGCTCAAACACATCCTTTTTTTAAAACATAAAATACCATTAACTGGTATTTTATGTTTTAAAAAAAGCCGCTTATAAGTTTAGTACGCCGGCTAATAGAAATCAAATAGCATATTGGCCTTAATATGAAAGGCCTTAATGACCTTTATATGGAAGGTCACTAATATTAAAAATAACTTAAATTTAAAAGCATGTTTCACCTTTATGTGTAGGTAGAACTATTGCCAAGTTTAACAAACTTGTAGTACTTCTGACAAAAAGTGTTCTGGACAAACAAGAATGACAAGCATCACTGATGATAATTCTATTTATAGAATTGCCAAAAAATAAATCAAAAAATACTCAGCAAAACAGATTCCACAAGAAATAAAGCTGGCACTTAAAAATCAAAATCAAGACAAACAGCTAATAAAAGACTTCTAGACCATAAACTGTGGTCCAATGCTGTTGCCAGAAGACCATTATTAAAATCAACATATCATTTAAAATTATTTAAATTTTGCAAAGCAATTTTAAAAATGAATAATCAAATAAAAATTAAGAACTATTTTTATTGATGAATTTAGCTACAACGCCCTAAATCGTAAAAACAAAGTAATTGCCTATTGTATGAATGCTACAAGGTGAAGGTGGTGCAATTGGCATTTTGAGCTACGTAGACCTAGGCATCACATATATGATGGCCTAGGTCTACAGATGTTATACAATGGTTGAATGGACCAACATAGGTACATCAACTCTCTTGAAAACTATTTAACGCCTACGAACCAGTGTGTATGTTTTAAGACAATGCTCCATGCCATAAAGCAAAATTTGTAATAGAATGATTTGGGCAAAACAATATCAAGGTACTTCAGTGGCCAGCTATATCATTTGATCTGAATCCAGTTGAAAAATGTTTGGACTGTGTTGAACTAAAAACTTACCAACAAACCAGCAACTTCAGCTAAAATTAAGGATAAAATTTAAGAGTTGATTAATGGTTTAACAGTTAAATATTGTCATAAAACTTTTGATTCTATAAGATGTGCATTATGCATAAAAAATAGAGGGTGGTCATATTCCTTATAATGGTTTTGTCTAAAAACAACTTCAAAGACAAGCGTGCTAAATTTATGAGCAGCTTTTTTTTCTTTTTGTATATATGAAAATTTCTTCCAAAAAACTGGATACGTCCCCCTTCCCCCACCTATTAGTATAATCTAAATATTTTAAAAAAGTAAATTTTGTATTTGAAATAAATAAAATTTTATCATTTTTTCTATTTTTCAAGTTCTAAAGAAAAAAAGTAATTTTGATTTAGATGCATGCTAAACTTTTGAGCACTATTGTATATATGTATAGTTAATGAAAAAGAAAAAATTATTATGGAACTTATTAGGTCTTTTAATTGCTACACTTCTAAGTAAGGGAATTGAAAGAGGCAATTGAAAAAAAAGGGAGAACTTATTAAGCCTTTTAATTGCCACACTTCTAAGTATGGGAATTGAAAGAGAAAAATTATAAACTGTTCATTAAATGGAAAACTATTAAACAATGCAAATTATACAAACCATACACCAAAATAATTTCGAAGTGTAGACACAAAAACAAAATTCTCCTTTCTTCATAAGTATTATATGCTATAACTTTCCGAATCAAACAGGAACTCAATACCCATGAATATATATATACATATATATATATACATACATACATATATATAAATATATATATATATATATATATGTGTATATATATATATATACACAGTGTGGAAAATAAGAAATCGAAGTGAAGCAGTCAATTTGAGACACATGAAATTAAGTCAATTGTTTTTTTCAGACTGTGAAAATTTTTATTTTTTCTTTGTTTAAATTTTTATCTTAGTAATAGTTCCTTATGACTCAACTTTATAAATACAAAAAAAAAACTTAATGCTTGAAAATAATGAATTCGCATTCTTTTTGAAATTATAATTTTAAACAAAATCAATGCATTTTAAAAATGGAAACTTACAAATAACAAATGTTTTAAAAACCTACTAATGTTATTAGTTTTAAAAAAATCTCATGCAAATAGATTTTTATTCAACTAAAAAAGGAAGTTTGATAACATTCAAAAAAATTATTGTTGAACTTTTTTTTTAAATATGAAACAATTTTAAAAAAATATTCTAAAAATGTAAACTGAACACTTGATACGAAAAGAAATGGTTTTATATATTATGCGCAATTGATAATTTTAAATTTATTTAAAAATAATTCATTTATTGCAATGACTTCGCAAATGGTGGGAAAAGATATGAATAAAATGGAAAGAAAAAAAAAAGTACAGTTAGAAGAGAGATGTTCTAAGTTACATACAACAATTTCAAATAATAAAATAAGAACTTCAATCTTTAAAGTTAACAATGTTACAGATGAAAAATTATATAAAATGTGCATTTTATATCTTTTAATATTAAAATCATTTAAAAAAACAGCTTATGTTATTTAGTTAATATAAATGTAATTTACTCTCCTGGGCAAATACTATATTTAAACTGATTACTTAATACTAAGAAGTCAATCATTTTATAAAACACTACTATAAATCTTGCAACGTTACTTAAAATTATATTTTTACTATATGTATATATATATATATATATATATATATATATATATATATATATATATATATATATATATATATATATATATATATATATGAGATTACAGGAAAAAGTGTTTTCATTACAGAAAAATAAGTGCAAACACGCAATTAGTAATTCCTCTATAAATCATTTATTCATTCATTGCAATTTAATAATAAATAGAATTTAATAATAATGTGTGTGTTTATATATATATATATATATATATATATATATATATATATATATATATATATATATATATATATATATATATATATATATATATATATATATATATATATATATATATATATATATACACACACACTATGTGTGTGTGTGTATGTATATATATATATATATAAAATATGACGGCAGACACAGTTTTGTTCATAATTTCAGCAAATAAGCATTTTCTAACCTGGAAAAACATTTTGAATGGCATCTGTTTGCTCTTCTGCATAGTCAATTGTTACATACTTAGGCATCCAGCCTGGATTCCATTCTTTCACAGTATTTAATCCTTGTATTATTGATTCTTTGTTCCTTATTTCCAATATAAATGTTGCAACCAACTGATGATCCACATTTGTTTGCACAAATAGACAAAACATTGGAAATGGCACATGTTGAACACTATTAGTGATTTCACATAATATAACTTTACTGCCATACCTTTTAAGTATTCTTTGCTGTTGAGGGGTTTGGTGACAAAAAATTAACGTTGTTTTTGGTGAATGATCTTCTTTTAAAATAGCAGAAGGATCTTTACTATCTACATATTCAGACTGAATAATTATATTTTCAGTTGGGCGTGACTGTTGAAGCTTTATGGCAAGCACATTAAGTTCTTCACGAATCTCAGATGAAAGTCTGAAATAATATATAATTTATAAAACTCATTACTGTTTTAAAAGGTATTACTATTAGGTAGTTACAGGGTTTTGCAAAGTTGTAAGTGCATGTTTGCAAAGTTATAAGTGCATGTTTGCAAAGTTATAAGTGCACGGTTGCAAAGTTATAAGTGCGTGCTTGCAAAGTAATAAGTGCATATACATTTTTTTGGAAATTATTTTTTTAGCTTTAATAATATTGCGCAAAATATTAAATTAAATTACAGCATAGCAATCAATAAGTGTTTTTTTTTGTTTTTTTTTTTTAAAAAGTGATTAGTTAGTGAAAATTCTTTACATTTTTACTTAATCTAGGATAAGAATTTTATTTGGATTTACTGCAAAGAATGGTACTAGTTTGTTGTTGATGAAATCAATAAATGATTGTGTATTGTATGCGCCGCTTTTATATTGGTAACATTCAACTCCTAAATTGGAAATTAAGCACATGAGGCTAACATTTTGTCCTTTATTTGCAGGAACTGTCAAGTACGCTTTTGTATTTTTTGGAGAAAAGCCATATGAGCGCACTATATGTTTATTGAATCCGGTTTCGTCTAAAAAAACCAAATTTGAATCAGCAATTCTAGCAACTTCTGCCGCAAAAATTGATCTCTGATTTATTCTTTCCATGGTGTTTCTTTCTTGAGGAATGATTGCTAATCTTTTTCGTGTCAAATTTAATTTCTTTAATTTACGGGAAACAAACAAGATTGAAACTATGTTGTTCTAAAATTTGTGTTTGATTTTTTTTTTGAACTACGGCATTGTTACAGACCACGAAATTAAATATTGTCTGTTCAATGTTTGCAATTATAGAATTTTTGATTTTATACATTTCTTTTCTTTTTACTGTAGATGACGTGAAGGGTATATTATTATCACTATTTTTTATAACACGACCAACAGCATTTTAAGTTAAATTACAAGCGTTGGATATTTCCTTGATTGAATATTTTTCACAATTTCTCATTGAAATAATCGTATTTTTAATTTCTTCTGTAATTGTTTTCCGTACTTTTCTTTCCATTGATATTTAAAATATAAGAGTTAAAATTAATTTTATAAATGCACTTATAACTTTGCAAACATGCACTTATAACTTTGCAAACGTGCACTTATAACTTTGCAAAACCCTGTAATATTATTGATTAAGCATTTAATATTAAACATTAATTCTTAAAAGTTTTAATAAATTATAAATAAAAAAACCTTGTTAGCATTTTAGCTTTGTTCATATAATTTCTAATATCTTTTGTGCTAGGATAATATCTTCTTCTATTTTTTGAGGGAAGAATTTTACCAGAAAAAAGATCTTTTTCCACATAGTCATCAAGTTGTTTTTTTATATCATTGAGATTAGTATTGCCCTCCCAAGTTAATCTGATTATTTTGTCTTTAATCAATGGATCAATCGGTTCATGGTCAGCATTTTCCTATTTAAAAAAAATATATAGATATAAAAATAATAATATTAAAAAGTAGCAAATAAATGCAATAAATAAACTATAAAAAATGTAAAAAATGTAATTGATTTATAAATAATTATTAAACAAATTGCAAAATAAAATTGAAATAAATTTAAAAAACAAAATTAAGATTAATGTGAAAATATAATTGTTATAAATAAGTTGTAAAATAATAATATAAATCTATATTGTTATTTCAGGTTGACATTGCCCAAATCCATAAATTTGAAGATAATGTAATATAATAAAGCCATTCAAAAGAAAAACTTATTTAATAATAAAAAAAAAATCTTAAGTTTTTGAAAAACTTATAAATACTTAACTAACAAGTTTTGAAACTTATACTTAACAAAAAACCTGTTACGATAACAATCAAAATATTATAATATAAAAATTCTACAAAAATTCTACAAAATAAAAAAAACTATTTGTTTATTACTTAACACCTTGCTATGCTGTATCCTTTCCTATAAAATTGACTATTTTAAAGATCTATAAAATTTAAACAATTATCAACAAGTTTTAAAACAGTTTTAATGTTCTTAATAAACTAGAGATGTCATGAATACTTGGCAACTATTCGGTATTCAGCTTTTTTACTATTCGGTACCCTGACAAATATTGCAAATTATTTGCCAGAATACCGAATACTAGATTGTAACCAAAAAAAAAAAAAAAAAAAAAAACGCATAAAAACAGATTTCATAAATTCTTTTTTATTTTAACAAATGATTGACATATTTAACATATAATCTGTAATTGACATATAATCTGTGGGTGGCAAGTTATGATAAAACATTTTTATCATTTGATGATAGCAAGCAATTACTAATTTTTTTATAAATTATACATTATTTCCAAAAATAGCCATTCACTGTGTACTTTGCCACCAGCAAATAATAAGAAAATTTTAGCCAATTATGTTAAGACAATGTTTTGTGTTTGCTGTCCAATTTAAGCAAATGGTTTCATGTAAAAACTAATATCACTTGCAATTGGACTTTTCTTTCTCATATCTTTAAGTGTGCATATTTTTTTTTAGGGATTAGTTTGATTGTTTTTATATACTTTTCTTTTTCTTACAAAGTGGAGCTAAACCATCATAGGTGCTACTATTTACTAGTAATCGTTCATCGATGTCAAGGTACCTTTCATTAAGAAGGATTAACCTTTCACTGACTTAATCATTCTCAGAGCATTTAATTTTGCTTATTGTGTTTTAACTAATCCCTTGAAATTAGTTATGGAACGAGCATCAATAAAAAAGGGCTACCATATAATTGACATTCCTATTAAAACTAAACGATGCGCAAAATTCAGGCTGTTGTAAAGATATCATTAATAAGTTTTGAGTTTTTTGAGCTATATCTAGTCACAGTAACTTCTGAAATTCAAGATGTACCCAAGCAGTTATACTTATTTTATTATTATTTTTGTCATCTTTTTGAATGGTGTAAAGAGTATGATATTTTCACATATAATTATAGTTAAAACGATTTGATGTAACACTTGAAAAATAATGCATGCTGTGACATGACCTAGTCATAAATGAAATAAAAACGCCTGCAGCCCAGTTAACAAATGTACTTCAACAAAGCAGGTTGGAACCATCAAAATAACTATCATAGCCAAATATTTGGCTGCTAAATATTTTATGCTTTGGCTGAGCCACAGTGGTCCAGTACCATGTCATAAATACAAAAACATAGTTTGTTTTATAATAAAAACAATTTAAAAATTGAATTATATATAGTATGTGAAAACCAGATTAAAATTTTTAAGGTCCGTTATTTAAAAAAAATTGTCTAAGGAGGGTTTGAAGTTCAAAAATTGACACAAAATTACATTTTTTCAGGCAAAAATCAGTCTGCAAACTTTTATACATTCTTACTTCTACCAATGTCACAGATATATCATTTTTTTTAAATATTCTTATAAAATATGGAGGATCAATATAAAATAATTATTTAAAAACTTTGGCATATAAAATTCGCCTTATGGTCACACACGAGCAGTGAACGCCTGAGGGAAGAAATGAAGTACATTAGAATAAAGGAGAACCATTTATTAGACAAAGCATATTTTGACAGTTGTCAAGACAAAAATAAAGATTAATAGAGGAATATTTAAAAATAAATAAGACAGGCTATACACCCACAACAAAAATAACAAAAAAAAAAAAAAAAAAAAAAAATTGTTTTATAAACACCAATATGAACAAAGATATACATCACCAGACAAAAACTTATAAAATAAAAAACCGATCTCAAAATAAAAAATATGCTAACAACAATGAAAGGCATTTAATAATGGAAAAAAAACATTAATGCTAATGTGTAAACATAATTTGTGTAGTGATAAGTAATAAACATCTCCTCAGAGTCGCATCTATTATTACTGGCGTTTAGATAAGATTAAAAAATCAGTCTGCAAACTTTTGTACATTCTCACTCCTACCTATGTCACAGATATACCATTTTTTTAAATATTTTTATAAAATATGGAGGATCAATATCAAATAATTTAAAATATAAAATTTCATAAAAATGACACAATTTACCGCATGTTTAACACTTTTTTCTTTTAAATTGTTTGAAAATATAACTTTGAACAATCAGGAAAATTTTCGCCCAGGTTTGCCCAGCTTGAAATTTTTTGCGTTTGAAAAAATGATGTTTATAGAAAATTTCTGAAAGTTTTGGCTGCTTTTGTTTGCTTTTGTGTCTATAGGGTCAGTTTAAACATGACATATTTAAACTAAAATATGACTCCCTCTCAAACTCCCGATGTTTTTCAACAAGTTTCAACCGCAAATATGAATAGCGGAATCTATAAATATTAATAACTTAACGTGCGCGTTTTTACAGAGTTTTATAAGCATGCTTGGCCTTTTAGATATTTCTCTTTTTGACCATGCGATGAGGTACTCTTGAATCTGTTAATATCTGTTTAATCAGTAATAAAATTGAAAACTTTGCTTCATCAACTTAATCAACTTAATTAGTAATAAGTAATAATTTTAATTTTTTGATTAAAAGTCGATGGTGACTCTAAAAGACGATGCTCTTTTCAAGAGGTCAAACTCTTGATAAAGTTACTGTTGTATATATATATATATATATATATATATATATATATATATATATATATATATATATATATATATATATATATATATATATATATATATATATACATACCTTGCATCTCACACAGTTACATGTTAGAAAGAACAAGAAAGAACAACATTAAACATCTTACCTTTGAAGAAGTTAAAAAAAATCTGTTTGCTTTTATATAAAAAACCAGATCGTTTGTTTTTCCAAATTGTTAAACATTTATTATACGAGGTATGTCATTAAACAAAAATAAGGTTGTATTTGTAAAGTTTCTAAATTTATATTTATGTGTTATTTATATTTACGTGTTATTTATGTTTATGTGTTTAGGTTTTATGGGTTTATATTTTGTAAGTGTGTAAATATCATTTATGTGTTTGTAAATATCTTTTCAAATTGTTGTTACTTGGCTTAGTTTACAGCAAGAGTGTTGATTTTGCTAGCCAAGTGGTGTACTTTGCTATATGTGACTTGGTTTTGTTGGGAGCAAGATTGTTGTCCATGCCAGTTAAGTGGTGTACTGCAGTACACCACTTAACTGGCATGTTTGGCGTGTACACGCCAAACAGTAACAGTACTGTTATGATGAAATACATAAATTAAATCTGTTTGTCGTTAGTGTAGTCATGAAAAGTGTGTGTATATATATATATATATATATATATATATATATATATATATATATATATATATATATATATATATATATATATATATATATATATATATATATGTATATATATATATATATACATATACATATATACACACAATAAAATATATAAAATTAAAGTGTTTATACATATACTATATGTATAGAATATATATTATTGACTTTTTTTCCTTAGAACATTAGATATCTGAAAAAAATTAAAATAGTTAAACAAGTTTCAATATTTCCAAGTTTCTTCACTTAAAGCAAATATATGATTGTTTATAGAGGTTTTCTTTTATTAGTTTTGTATTTACTTATTTATTGCAAATCTTGCATTAAATGCGTTTTAAAGTAATGAAAGGGTTTTTATGATGAACGATTACATTTTATCCTTATAGTTTTATTACTTATAGATTACATTTTATCCTTATAGTACTTTTTTTTATTTTATTTTTTTTTTTTTATTTTTTTTTTTAACATCTTCACTTCCAACAAGGCTGCAAGCAACCACTATAAGAGTTGGAAGTTACTGGAAGAGAAAAGACTAAATCTGTAGAGCAAGATGACGATTGACTAATGACTTAAAAGATTGCAAATTATATGAATCAGGAAAGCAAGATGAAGGAAGCGAATTCCAAAGAACTGATGTTCGAGGAAAAAAACTAGAAGAATAAGAGTTTTTGAAGCACTTAGGAACAGTCACAGAAAAAGGATGAGACTTATGTCTTGCTGAGCAGACAAGCCTTATTATTTTTAATTTGCTTTATTTATGAGTTCTTAAATGTAAAAAAATTGTTTTTTAAATTACTTTACTTTTGTTTTTTTGATTAAATACTAATAATATTTTGTCAATAATTAATAACAACTAACTTAAATATGTAACAATACTCAGTTTAAAAATTATATCAATTTATATATAACTTTCGTTTAACCTTTTAATAAAAGTATGTTATCTTAACACATTGCTATATATGGTAAATTATAAAAGATTATATTATGCTCTATATTATTTGCTTACACTTTATTTTAGATTAGTTTAAAAAAGAAAACTCAACTTTTTATTATATTAAGCATCATTTTTACACACCTTTGATGCATGATTATGCCTGATAATTCAAGAAATGAAATTCTTAGAGTTTGTCAAAAAGAACTAAATAGGTATAATATGCATCGCATAGCAAGAAATAATATTG